ATATATATATATACATGAAGTATGAAGTGCCTACAGAAAGATAAAGTGGACATACAGAGAGGTATATATTATATATATAACTGCTTATACACATGATATACATGAACAGAGATAGAATGGACATTCAGAGATTTATGGAGGAGATACAGTATACAGAGACTGGTAGTGGACATTATTTAGAGAGACAAAGTGGACATACAGAGAGATAGACTGGATGCACAGTGTACACATTTAATGCAGCAATCTTTCGTGGTTCTTCTACGCTTATGAACTTACCTCTATTCCCCGCTATAATATCGTTGTTCATTCTGGTAAATCCAAATTGGATGTCTTTGCCCTCTTCCGTTGTCTAGTCTATCTTTTGTCTGGCTGCACGGCCTCTGTTCCATCCCCGGAGCTTGGTGGAGCTGGCCTTTCACATTAAGACTTTTCTGACCAGAAGTAAAGAGATGGGAAAGAGTTTAGTTTTAAGTAGATGAGTTGTTTAACATTCAAAGATAGTAAATGGACATACTATACAGAGATGTTCATAAGGCACACATGCCTCTAGTGAAAGATTGGCAATTTCTTAGATCAATGAACACACACACACACACACACACAGATACTTACAAAGACACAGACAAATACAAACACACAGAAATACCTACATGCAGACCCACATGCACATACACACACTCCTATACACAAATAGATGCACAGACTCTTAAACAAACACTCACCATGCACCCGCCCGCCCGCCCGTCCTCACGCAAGCACGCACACACTGTGACACACAGGTACACACAAACACAAACCAGTTGTTTGAATCGTATACCTAAAAGATCAAGGTAGGAGCTGCTTATCTTCGCCATACTAAAACACCCCAGTCATCTGGCAAGGACGAAATTCACTCACTAAGCGTTCTCTGAGACAACAGAAAATTATAATAATATGGGTTTTTCTCCTTACTGGAATGTTTACAAACTCTTTCGTAAATGAAGTGATGGTTGATAAGTAGCGTAAAGATTTCCAGAACACAGTGCATGGCACCTTATTTTTCACACTGAAAGGGACTTACTATAAAGAGAAATTTAAACACAATTAATTAAATTAGCTCAGTCCCCAACTCAGTCCCCTGTAAATCCCCTGCAGTGAGGTTTATAATAGACAGTACCAGAACAGATGACTGACGTCAGTTAGTTTTAGTAAAACTTTTACCAAACTGAATAGAGTGTAAAGTGTTTTAAATAGTTCCCACACTCTGTCAAATTTAAAATAAAAACAAGTTCCTGGTAGATTTCTTTTCCTGAAGGGTGGGGTGGTGTTGGGCAGAGTGAGTGACAAGCGACTGACATTGTTGATGACTTTGTTAATTAATAAAAGGACACTTTCATACTTACTTACAAAACTGATTACTTTTCCCACAGCATGCCGGCTGAACAGGATACAGCATCCTTCCGATGACGCTGGGAGATGATGGTCCTCGTCAGTGTTTGACGTCACGCTCCCACGTCGTTGTACAGATGTATCAGTCTTGTCCTCATCAGTTTTTCCTGATGGTGTAAAATCATCTTGCAGAAGACCTCCTTGCACGTTTCTTGATAACTTTTATCAAATTAATATGGATGTGGATATTGTTGGAGGGAACGTGCTGTATTTACATGCTGTGGTCCCAGATTTCGGTGAACGTAATATTATGGCCACAAACATACCTTAGGATATGCCTCGTGATCTAGGCTGTGAGGTCAAGGTTCAGGGATAGAACCAGTGCCATCTGGCCCTGTGAGGTGTTGGTGGCGCAAGAGCTCGGTTACTGCACTCCCTCGCTATCACGTGATACACATCACCAGGGACACCATGGGAACAAAGAAGCTTTCTGTCTGAGGCATGGGAGTCTTCACATCCTATTAGCATGCCCATGATTATTTATCTTTAGACTGCTTGTCTCATCATAGCTTTGGGCTTTTTTTTAGATGTATAGTATCAAACATCATCTCCCTGCCACTTCTTTCCTTTCTTCGTGCTTGTCCCTTTTCAGCACCTTGAGCACAGTCAAAAAAAAAAAAACCAACCCCAGGACAGCCATTTTTTTCAGGGCGCTCATTTTGTGATTGCACAGAGATGCACCAGAGCCGAAAAATACCTGGATTGTAGGCTTGAGAAATATATGTAAAAGGGCAAAGCTGCATCCAGACGTTCACTTCATCAGTACGTCATCTCTGATTGTCTCTGCTGCCTTCACCTTTTGTTAGTTTTGAATCAGCACAAAAGTATCCTTTATTAAAGGTTTCATTTCACAGGATTTTGCTCATCGGGGGAGAGCCTCTTCCTCAAAGACTCCAATTCCTCCGTCATGCTGGCAATTGTGGTGTCTCTTCTCATGAGCCTTTGACGCAAGCATTTGATCGTTCTGCTGTGACTCTTAACTTTTGCTTTGCTTCTCTCAAGGGCTACCATCACCTCCATCAGATTAAGCTCTAAACCTTTAGGTGGTCTGAAATAAGAGTGTTCGCTGAAGAGATTAGCAGTTTCTTCATCTAGGGCTTCCACGTTACTGCTAGATTCACCGTTGTCAAAACGACGTTTCTTTCGAGATCTCTTTCGTTGTGTCTTTTCAGCTGATTGCTGCTGAGCAGGGAGACATGGGGCCTGCAAGAGCACTGTGTCAGTTTTTTCTGGAACTTTTTTCTGTGCGTCATGTTCACCTTCTGAGGCTTCTTCTGAGCTACTCCTAGCTTCCACTACAAAAACGTTGACAGGAAGTTTACTTTGAGATTCCCCTAGTGTCTCTCGAACAAATTCTTTCTGAGCAGAATGACAAGAAGGAAGCTGCGATGCCGCTGCCGCTGCAGTTTTTTCTGGCATTTTCTCCTTCGTGTCAAGCTCATCGTCTGAGTCTGAGGATTCTGTACTACCGTTAGGTTCTACCACAACAATGTTGAAAGGACGCTTTTTTTTAGGTTTCCCTGGTGCTTTTTCAACGAATTCTTTCTGAGCAGAAGGACAAGGACAGGTTTTTTTAGGTCTCCCTGGTGTCTTTTGAACCAATTCTATCTGAGCAGGGTGGCATGACAACTCTGATCGCACTAGAGTTTTTCCTTGGACTTCCTCCTCCTGAGTGATACATTCATCATCTGACCCTTCTGATCCACTACAAGCTTCAACTTTGTTAACAAGATATTCGTTTTCAGATTTCCATGGCCTCTTTTGAACTGACTGTTTTTGATATGGGAAAGAGAATGGCGATGGCACTAGAGTTTTTCCTGGGATCTCCCCCTGTGTGTTAAGTTCATCATCAGGGGCTTCTGATCCACTACAAGCTTCAACTTTGTTAACAAGATGTTCGTTTTCAGATTTCCATGATGCCTTTTGAACAATTGACTGTTTCTGAGCAGGTGTGTGATGTGAGAATGGGAATGGCGATGGTACCAGAGTTTTTCCTGGGACTTCCTCCTGTGCGTTAAGTTCATCATCTGGGGCTTCTGGGCTACTGCTAGCCTCAACATTGTTAAAACAACCATTGTTTTTAGATGTTGGTGTCTTCTTTTGAACTGACTGTTTCATCTGAGCGGGGTGATATGGGAATGGCGATGGCGTTGTGTTTATTCCAAGGACTTCCTCCTGTGTATCAAGCTCATCCTCTGGGGTTTCGGCGCTTCTGCTGACTTCAACTTTAACATTAGTAAAAGGAAATTCTATTTCAGATTTCTTCTGCGATTTTTTAGCCGATTGTTTCTGAGCAGGGTGACATGGGAACTTGGACGTCTCTGCAGTTGTTCCTGGAACTTTCTTCTGAGGGTCAAGCTCATGGTCTGGAGCTTCGGTGCTGCTGCTACAAGCTATTTCAACATTGCTGAAAGGACGTTTCAATCTCTATGACGGCTTTCGAACTCGTTGACTCTGACCTGGACTCTGACCAGGGCGACAGGGGAACTTTGACGGCACAGCAGTTGCCCGTAGAACTTTGTTCTGCGTGTCGAGCTCATAATCTTCTAGGAGAAAATGATCGCTGCATATTCTCGCACTTTTTGAGGGAAACCAGAGCTTTCCGTGGGCATCTTTGCGAGAAACGAGATGGATCCATTTTTGCAGTCGTTCCGGATCTGAGAAAGGGAACCTGGAAATGAATTTTTGAATTTCATTACAAACGGCAAAAATTTTGAAGTGGAAAGTCCTACCAAATTCATTACAGAGGACATTACACAACCTTGGGGCGTACACATGTTCGTGAATATAAGATCGGATTTTACACCGTTTAATATTACATATTTCGGACAATACGTCAAGAACTCAAGAATCAAAGCTAAGATCATGTTCTTGTTTATGTTCATGTTAATTAGTAGTCTTGAAACCATTAAGTGGGGTTTTTGTACACACTAGCAAAATCTTGCGGTAAGCTGGGCTGACGGTATAACGAGATTGTATTTTCAAAATAAATCATCTCTTCTTTTATCTTTCATTACATTTTGGTGTTTCATAACATAGATGTGTCAGGACCTTGTGGAATCAGGCAAGCGTCAGTCTTTGGGCATGTGGAGTTACTGGTCATTGGTACATATTATATTAGAGCCTGTTGATGAGTATCCTTTTCAATTTACCCATCTATCTATCTGAATAGGAGTCGAGACATTTGCATTTGAAGGAGGTTGGGGTCGCCTGGTTTCAGAGGTGAACTCAGCGAGAAAATGGCTGCCAAGGTTTGGTGACTTCCATCGTGTTGAGTCAATGAATAAAAAAAATAAAAACTGTCATTCGGGAATAAAAAATGTCAGTTTCTTCGATTTCATTGTTTTGACGAGAGCCTGATTTAACCATGCATGATCTATCTACAGAAATATATAGATATCTAGATCTATATCATATCTAGAATTTAGATTTAGATTTCTACATTAGATCTATATCTAGATCTATATCTAGATCTAATCTAGATTCTAGACATAGACGTCTAGATCTCTAGGACTTAGAAGGGAGTGTATACAGACCCGGTAATCGGGAACAAAGTCACAAAGCATACAGACCCGGTAGGGGAACTCTTTTGTGATTTCGGAAAGTTTCAGCGCCCTCTTGGCTCAGTGTGTAGACCTATATCTAGATCTAGATCTAGGTTCTTCTAGATCTATGGTCTAGAGTCTAGATCTAGATCTAGACAGACAGCCGTTTATTTATTTGATCTAATTTCAAGGCTAGCCTAGATTCTAGATCTAAATGAAGATTGCAGATAGATGTCTTTTCGATGAACGATCGTTTTTCCTCCGTTTCCGAGTTGGAGGAATCACAATTTGAAGAAAAGAACAATGCATATAAAATTTCAATCGAACAGTGACCCTCTCTGTCTCTATTTCTCTGCCTCTCTCTCTCTTATGTGTAGGGTTCGCCTTCTCTTTTTCTTTGTCTCTGTCTTTCTTTCTCCCCACCTATTTCCCACTCTACTTTCTCTCGTTCCCTCCTGCCAACTGGGGCATGTCATACATTTTGCTAGCACATCTCTTTCTTTCTCTCTCTCTCACACACACACACACACAAACACACTACCGGGTCTGGGTGCTGAAAATTTCCGAAATCACAAAAGAGTTCCCCTACCGGGTCTGTATACTTCGTGACTTTGTTCCCGGCCCGGTTACCGGGTCTGTATACACTTCTGACTTAAAAACTAGAAATCTAAACTTACTTGTGAAAGCCGAGATGAGTTGTCTCCTTGTCACGCTTGTTTGAACATCCAACAACAGCACAGTTTTGCACCATCGTTATTTCTGAACAGTATTTTCATATAGAAGCCATAGGCCTACTGTTGTTACTGGTGTGCTTCAATTTACACCTTCTTGCCTTCTTTCCCTCCTCGGTATGGCCGACAGAGCTCTTCTCATCCCCCACGTCTGACACGCGTGACGTCACAGCTGCGAAACACCAGGTGTAACCTCCTTGCAGGAAACCCGTAAACAAAGCTTCGTACTTTTTTGTAGTCTCGTTTTTCGTGTCGTTATTTTTCATACGAAGACTTTAATCGAGCGAGAATAATTTAAGGCTAATGATGAGGACGGGTGGAGAGGGTAACAATTAACATGATCAAAACCCTGAAGACTTAAAATATTTTACGCTATAGCGTGATAAGCTGACTTCTTACAGAAATTGCAAAACTCAGCTTTTATTATTACATGTATATAAGAGGGTGCGTGTATGTGTGTGCGTAGGTGTGTGTGTGTGTGTGTGTGTGTGTGTGTGTGTGTGTGTGTGTGTGTGTGTGTGTGTGTGTGTGTGTGTGTTTTGTTTGCTTTTTGTTTGTTGCTTTTTGTTGTTGTTGTTGTTGTTGTTGTTACTGTTGTTGTTGTTTTTGTTTTTTTTGTTTCATTGCGAGGGGCGGGGGGGGGGGGGGGGGGGGGGGGGTTACAGTTGAGGGCTTCTCACTTTATATTTGTTTGTGATCAAATTTTACCAGATTTCACATATATAGCAAGTGCAGTGTGGAGTCGTCAATCAAATCTGTTATAAAATAATATTATGTTTTCTTGCCATAGATAGAGATGTCGGCCCTATTGAATTTTATTGGCATAATATGTCTTATACTACAGTTAAAACCTCACTTATTTTCATTGGAAATAGGTTTGTTTTTTTGCATGCATGCTAGCAGACATGTTAATAGCTTTACATAAAAATTCAGCTACGTTTTTCGTAAAAGAATTAATACATTTTAATTTTTTTCCCCCTGATTTAGTATTCAATGTTGAAAAAAAAATCATGGAAAGTCCACACTCAGCCTCGTGTCGAGTCGGTCTGACTCTTAAAATTGATTTTGTTCAATCGAAGTGGATTCCTCTTAAGTTACTGACTATGGTGGGGTGGAATTCAACTTCAATAGCAGCAGCAACAACAACAACAGTAACAACAACACTTGCGTCACAACATGAGTGGTTTTCTGTTGGTACGTACGTTGTATCCCTCTCAGCCTGGGATGTCACTGACAGACAGGATCAAAGCCGGTCTCCTAAATATTCTAAATTGTGTCAATGTGGGCGTAAAAAGACATAGATTATAAAAAGAAACAGCTGTCATAATATGATAATTGTCCAATAGCAAAGTGGCTAATTCCTTGGTAAACGACATATATTGTTTCTAAGTTTTTCTTACATGTCTTGACCACAAAATTCTTTGATGTCTTTGGTGTTTTTTGGACAACAGGGATAAAGACAAGAAGATTATGGTGGTCAGATATAATGCTTTTGTCAGTGACAGTCAGATTACTAACTGCTGGTTTGTTCTTAGATGTAAAATGGCACGGTCCACGATGTGACCACAATAGACTGTGTTGGGCTGGTCACAATTTGCTTACAGCTAGTCATTCCCAACTAAAATAAAATTGAAAGTCCTGATGCCACGGGCGTTCAGACCAGTGTATTACTTCACACAAATTTTGCTCACTTCACCCAGGTGGGAATGGGTACCCGACCTTAGACAGCGAAAGATCTTGTAAGTATGTTAGTGTTTTAGCGCCTATAAATGGCTGCTTGCACTGTATGCTTCCCAGGAAGTTGAGTTTGTTTCAGAATGCTCTCAGGTCTGCTGGGGTAATAGTATAGATTGTGAAGCGCATGAGCTTTCTGTTGAGCGGGAAATTATGCTATACAAATGCCATCTATTATTTTAACTATTATTTTTTTTTTAAGTTGTAGCGGTTAGGAGCTTCTCTGTTGCACGCCAAAGACCCGAGTTCGGTTCCTATGTGGGGACATTTTTTTGTAGAGTATCTCCAGTCTTTTTTCTTTGACGACGTACCCATCTAAGCCCAGGCCGTATCTTGACAGGCAGGCTCGAAGCCCGTCTCCTGAATGGTCTAAACTGTGTTGATGGGAGTGTAAAAACGTATTCATGAGTGGCTGGCGGGTATTCTGTGTGAGGTTTTGCTCTTTCTTTCCTACCAGACAGCTGTCGTTTTATTACTCCTTCATTTCGTTGAATGTTGTTCTCTTCTTGTAACAATGTCATCTTTTTTCTCCGACACTTATGATGATCTATTTGTGTTGCATGTGCCGTAAAACTCATACTCTAACGGAAAACGAAACATGTATCTAGCAGAAAAAGTCCTTCCCGGCTTCAACCATAGACTCCAGAGGTTTTACTGCGCATCATCATCATAGTATTTACACAGAGACGTGTTGAATGAGAGGCGAACACCGCACCTTTAGACCAAGAGAGGCCCCCCCCCCTTTTTTGTATTCTATAATTTGTACATCTTCGCATTCCATTTATACATAATACCCTTGCTGGAAAGCAGACTCTATGTTCTGTATAGCCTAATATAAGTAGACGTACTACCTAGTGGTTCGTCCTTCTTACAACGAATTAACATTCACAGCTTTCTTTGTTTTCAAGGCATTGTAACGAATATCAATACTCAGGCAATGCTCATTCTTGTTTTACTGTCAAATAAATTGACATACATGTATTGTTATCTCAATACACACACACACACACACACACACACACACACACACACACACACACACACA